CCCACCAGGCGCCTGGGCCAACAACTACCGGCAGAAGTACAAGAGCATGGCCGAGACTGTGTCCCCCGCCTTCCCCCAGCCGCCAGACTCCAGCCCCCTCCACCTGGACATCCGCCTGACCCAGATCGACATCGTGGACGTGGACAAGGAGAAGAGCCTGGTGACCCTGATCGTGAGGAAGCGAGAGTACTGGATCATCGACGAGATGGCCTTCGACCGAGCCGCCCTCAACATGTCCAGTGTCACCCTGACCAGCACCGACATTTGGACTCCGGACACCACCTTCTTCAACGCCGCCGGGCCTGAGCACGTCATCAACCGTGAGGTGGTTCTCTTCCACAAGGGAGTCTTTCTGTCCGTGCGGAGAATCCAGGTGCCCATCCTGTGTGACGTCAGCGAGGTGAACACGTACACTGGCGCCACCTGCCACCTCCAGGCCGGCTCCTTCGGGCTGGGCAATGAGCTGATCCGTCTGATGGAGCCCAGAGACAACTGGTCCTTCCTGCTCCGCTCTGCCCTGGCCGGAGACTCCGACTACGAGGTTCTGTCGGGTCACGTGGTCAGATCGCAGGAGGAGTACGCTTCCGGTGACCCCGAGCAGTTCTACTACGACGCTCTGACCTTCACCTTCACCTTCAGAAGCAAGTACGGTCACTAGTCCCCTTGTTCTGTGGGATTCTTGACGAGCTGAATCATGATGAGATTTCTCGGCCGGCCTCTTTTGCTGGCGGAGTTCTTTGGTCCATTTGTCTCGCCTAATACAGAAAATACCTACCGAAATAACAATGGCATAGGATGTTACTTGTTTTGTTTTGGCTTAGCTGACAATATGGCGAACTCTCCTTAGCTCAAGGAGATTCTAGAACTGTTGTGTCCAATACGAAAATAGAAGTTCTCTTCTGATCAATCTAATAAACGGAGCTTGTATTTTTTTCCACTGACTTCGGTTTAGTTCAAATGATTTCATTTTTGTTGTTGTTGATGTCTTGTGACTGTTGCTTTGTCTTGTTCTTAGTTTTGTTTCTTTTTGCTGCTCATCGTTTTACTTCTCGATTAAATCCTTTATTTTCTTTTTCCTTTTTTCCCCTTTTAAAAATTCTTTTCTTTATTTCTGTTCGTTTTCTCTCGTCTGGGTCACAGAATTCCTGGTGTAGTGAACTCTTCGTCTCCGGCAGGTACACTTCTGTACCACGACGTGGACATCACGTTGCTTTTCGTCAATTGCCGAAAACAGATCTCTTTCACCGGGAGCTCATTCATCAGATGAAGATCTCTCAAAATAGGTTGACTTCTTTTGACTTAATGACCCACTTAACGACGCTTTTGCCATTTCTCGATTCAGTACAAAAAAAGGGAGCCCGGCGTAGTGGGTTTATCTCCCCCTCCCCTCGGAGATAAAGTGGGACTCAAAGTGACGGGTGTGGGGTGTAGCGACTAGGCACTTTGTCACTTAACGTAGCAGGCGTGAGTTCGACTGTCACAATACTTTGGGGAGGACTGCTATCACGTATCTCCGTCTTTCTTCTTTCTGTTTGGTTTTAGTTTTACTAGGGTTTTACGGCGCTCACAACTGCATAAGGTCATATGAGCGTCAAGG